AGCAGCAGCTGGTTGCTGCTCTGCGTGATGCAGCAGCAGCAGCACGAAAAACAAGAAGGAGGATTCTGTCGGTGCTAGGCAGCAGCAGCAGCAGCAGCAGCAGCAGCAGGAACTCCTGCTGCGGCTGGCTTGCTGCTGCAGCACCGCTGCTGCAGCGGCGGTTTCTATCGCAGCAGAATTTGCTGCTGCTGCAGCAGCAGCTAAAGGAAGATGTTGCTGCATGCGGCTGGGAATGGAACGGCAGCGAGGAGCAGCAGCTGCTGCTTGCTGCTGCTGCTAGAAGCAAGAGCAGCAGCAGCAGCAGCAGCAGCAGCAGCAGTGCGGTCGCTGGTGGGTTGAATGCTGCTGCTAGCCGGAAGGGCGCCAGCAGCAGCAGCAGCAGCAGCAGCAGCAGCACAAGGGATAGCTCGACAGCAGCAGCAGCAGCAGCAGAGCCATCGTCTGCGAATGCTGCTGCTGCTGCTGCTGCTGCTGCGCATGCGCTGCTGCCTTCAGCAGCAGCAACCGGTGCTGCTGCTGCAGCAAGGCGCAGCAGCTTTAATGCAGCGGGAGTTTCTGCTGCTGCAGCACAGACAGTGGGCAGCAGCAGCAGACACAGACAGCAGCAGCAAGAAGAGCAGCAGCAGCAAGAAGAGCAGCAGCAGCAGCAGCAGCAGCAGCAGCAGGCAGAACAGCGCCAGCTAGAACGAAAGAGGCAACGGGAACAGCAGCAGCAGTATCAGCAGCAGCAGCAGCAGCAGCAGCAGCAGCACGAGCAGCAGCTGCAGCAGCAGGAGCAGCAGCAGCAGCAGCTGCTGCAACAAGAGGAGCAGCAGCGTGCCAATCAAATCGACAAAGGAATAGAATCAAGACAGCAGCAGCAGCAGCAGCAGCAGCAGCAGCAGGATGAAGAACAGCAGCAGCAGCAGCAGCAGCAGCTGCACAGCTCCGACGAGGACGATCAGCAGCAGGAGCAGCAGCGGCAGCAGCAAAGCAAGCAGCAACGCCGTCAGCAGCAAAAACAGAAGCAGCAGCAACAAAGGAAGCAGCAGCAGCAAGAGCAGCAGCAGCAGCAACAGCAGCAGCAGCGCCGCGGACGTAAGGGCATCAACAGAGAGACAGAAAGGGAGGAACAGCAGCAGCAGCAGCGCAGCAGCAGCAGCAGCAGCAGCAAACACGGAATGGCTGCTGCAGCAAAATCAAAGCCTGCTGCTCCTCGGGCGACAACCAACCAGCAGCAGCAGCAGCAGCAGCAGCAGCAGCAGCAACAGCAGCAGCAGCAGCAGCAGCAGCGCAATGAGCTTGCAGATTTGTGGAGCCCTTCTTCCTTTGAGTCTCAGGGAGACTCTCCTGCTGCTGCTGCTGCTGTTGCTGCTGCTGCTGCATCACCGCAGCAGCAGCAGCAACAGCAACAGCAGCAGCAGCAGCAGCGCAGCAGGGCACCGTCAGCAGCAGCAGAAGCAGCGTGGGAGACGGGATCCACAGGTACGTCTTTTGCTGCTGATCTCTTTGACTTTTAGTTTGCTGCAGCAGCAGCAGCAGCAGCAGCAACAGCAGCAGCTGCTGCTGCAGCAGCAGCAGCTGCTGCTGCTGCTGAAGCGGTGCCAGTGTAGGAGCAATTGGTGCAGCAGCAGAACTGCTGCAGCAGCAAACAATTTGTTGCTGCTGCAGCAGAGGGAAATCTGCTGCAGCAGCAGCAGCAGAATGCCTGCTGCTGCAGCAACAACTCGAATTAACTGCAGCAGCAACAGCAGCAGCAGCAGCAGCAGCAGCAGCAGCAGCAGCGCTGTGCTGCTGCAGTTGGTGTTGTTGCGGTGTACGTACACCCCAACTTTTGTTGCTGCGAATCCATAAGCAGCTCAGCTGTCTCTTCTTCTACA